GCAGGACGAGAGACTTTCCTCTTGAGTTTTGAGACGCCAGCGGCGACAAGCAGTTGGCCAGAGAGCGCTTGCACCGCCAAACACGGCGTCTGGACAAGCTGCATGCAGAAGTTGGTCGGCGAGGAGAGATGTGTTGATATTGTGTGCAACCCATGTGCCATCAGGGTTGCTGGGGTCCGTCAGGCAATGCGCGACCTGTCTGCGGCAGCGTGCATACACGTCCTCCACCCCCGTGATCTATTAACAGCGGCGGACCTGGGTCCAGCGACACCGATTTCTTTCTGTCCCCTGATTTAATCTAATAGTACGGACTTCAAGCATGCTATACATGAGATCCGTGTGAAACACGGGGCGGAAGTCATGTCCAAAAGAACTGACTTTGGATCCGCGCGGACGGAAAGCTGATCCGTTGCAACACACATCCAAACCGAAATCGGATCCACACCTTTGATTTGAATTCCCCAGGCTCCTATCATGCGCGCCGCCGTAAGGGTTAAAACGATCACGTCCTGGCCCAGGAGGCAACGCACAGCTTCGTTCTGGGTGTGTAGTTAGCGACAGCCGGCCCCAAGGTCCGAGGTGATTCGAAGTGGTGATCTAGCAAGAGCTGGGGAACAGGGATGTATGGAGGAAGGTTGATGGGCAAACTTCCCGCCACCACTACCGTATTTAGGACGAGGGACATGGTAGAGTGAGGAGGTCCTCTCCTCCTCCTCCTCCTCCTCCTCCTCCTCCTCCTCCTCCTCCTCCTCCTCCTCCTCCTCCTCCCTCTCCTACCTATGGTAGTAGTGGTTGAAAATGGGGCCATCAAAGGTGGGGACGGCTCGCTAGAGCTTGGGCTGCCTGGTCGCCGCGGCCGGGGCTCGATGCCTCAGCTGTCCTGCGCTCGCCGCGGTGCACCCCACGCCGCTCTGGAGAGGCGCCGCGGCGCGGCGGCGCGACAGCCAGCCGCGCGAAGCACTGCGCCGTGCCCCAGGATTGCTTTCAGCATGGTGGACCTGTCTGCCACCACCACCACAAGCTGGAGGGGGGAAGGAGGTGGATGATGATGAGGAGGAGGAGGAGGAAGGAAAGGAGAAGGAGGAGGACCGCCTCCTCCTCCTACTTATGGCGATGACGTTGGAAAGCAAGCCCACTCACCATTCAGCAGCTGGCACGCGATGTTTGACGAGAACCTCTGCGCTTCGGGCTTCGAGGCTGGTTCAACAAAAAAGGAGCGCTTCTGCCCCAGAGGGCTGCGGCCACGAAGTTGCGAAGCTCAAAGCGGTGCTTGACATGCGCAGCCGAGGCAGGGCAAAAGCGGACAGATTGTGCCCCCGTCCACCTCGCGAGGCCAGCGGACGGCGACTTGGAAGCGCCACCGCCGCCGCTCCGTGCCGCCGTCCGAGCCTGTTCTCAGGATATCATGGGCGTTGGTGGCGCGGCGCCAGGCCTTCGCATACCCTGGGATGAGATTTGGAGGCGGCCAGAACAACCTCATGCCTATGAAAAGCAGAGGCGTGGCTCTTCCGGGCAGGGCACCGTGCATCGAAGAAGCACTATAACGTTATACATATAACTTGTCGAAGCTCCGCGCGGATTTCTTAGATCGGGGCTGGGCCTCACCCGCGGCGCCTTGGGCGCAGCTCCTGGCGCAGTTCTGCACGCACGGGAGGGGGGTTCAGCCTAAGGACCTTACTAGTGGGATGCTGTTCTTCGGGCACCGCCGCGCGCGATGTCGGGAACGCCTGAGCGAGGCAGCCAAGCGCCAGGGCGCGGTGCTGCTTTACAGCACCATTGTTGTTGCGCTCGGGGGGCAGACAGCTCCGCGGATGTCGAACGAGCGCGACCACCACTTGGCCGTCGCCACCACCCAGACATGCTCTTCAGACGCCCAGTGAACGGACTGGACCCCCATGTATTGGTTTTGTGAAGCGATCTGGAACCCCTGTCACGCATGGACATGATCACGGAGGATCGCCCTAAGCCGTTCCGCGACAGCCAGCGCGCGCTCAGTCCAAATCGGGGCGATGACAGTTCTGGTGACCTGCAGTTTTAGTTCGGCCATCCCTTTGGCCGCGTCATACACGGGGGGGGAGCACGAGACAAATCATTCAAGCGAGGTTGCGCTAGCTGCTAGCCCCGTACAGCACGCTCACCACTGACCATTCTCGCCGCGACAGGCAACGAATACCATTCCAACGCTTGTGCGTCCTTGTGCCCTGTCGCGATGCGCGTCGTTGTGCTGTCATGCCATGTCTATCACAAGGCCAACGCTGCTGTGGCCCGTAGGGACCCCCTCTTGGCAATCGCAGCGATCGTTGCAGTTTGTAAAGCAACCGATCGCGAGTTCAGCTGGAGGGGCTTGTCACCACCACGTACGGTCGTTCTTATGGGCTGGCGGGGCGTAGCGGGACCCCGCCTTTGTATTTTCAGATTGGCACGGGCAGAAAGAGGATGCTGATGAAAATGGAGATGCCATCGAGGATGCTTGGCCCTCGTCGTAAGAAGATTTGACTCAGGGCTAGGGGGCCCCTTTTCGGTAATCAGGGAGCAACATGTCAGAACGCCTATAGTACGGCGTTTTGTTTTAAAACACGGATGTGTTTGTACTGCTTCTTTCGCAATGGTGGTTGTAGTAAGAGTTCCCTGAGTAACGGCCCTTGTGCTAAGCGGTCATTGGCAATGGTCCTTTGTGTAAGTGGCCTTTCTGTAAGCATGCCTGTGGTATGGATCCCTTGTCAAACATGCCTTGGGCACGCAGTCCTTAGGCTGCGCTTCGGAAAGGTTTCTTCGTAAGGACGCCTCTAGCATGGGATCCGCATTAAGCACGTCTTTAATGGGGGGATCCAAGTAAGGCCTTTGAGTAAGGAGCTTCTGTGCAGGATGCTTGTATGAGCAAGTCCTTTTGTAAGGGCTTGTTTAGTATGGAAATCTGAGTATCGTTGAGTGTAGTATGGGCCCGCCTCTGGAAACAAAAAGGGCCCCTGTATCATTCAGTCCATAGTATGGGCCCCTTCAGTGAGGAGTCCTTTGCCCGGTTATCAGGGATAACGAATTGTTGCCGATGGTGTTTTTTGCGTATGGATATCTCTGCAATAGTGTTGTTGGTGTATGGGGTTTTGCGTAACGGGGTATGTTAGTAAGAACTCATTGGCATACTTTCCTTAAACACCAGAGGCTCTGTCAGTATGGTTATTTCGTGCTGGTATCTTGCGTGTGGGACTTTCCAGAAGGATGCATATGGCGTGGCATCTTGAGTAGGGGTTTCTTTAGTAAGAAGCCTTTCGTAAGTACCCAGTCAGTGCGGACTCCATCGTACGGGTGTTTTAGTGCGACATCCCAAGCACGGATTTTTGCAGGAAGGGTTCCTCAATAAGGGGTCGTGTTGCAATGGTTTCTCAGAAAAGGGTGTCTTCAGTAACAGATACCCTGTTTAAGCGTGTCCTTGCACCCTTTTTGTAAGGAGCCCGTGTGAAAACAGAGTTGTTGTCAGTCATGGGTCTTCCGAGAATCTGGTTCTAGCAAGGGGGCCCTAGCAAAGACCTTTTAACATGAATGATTATTTTTCGCGAGGATGCTTGTATCACGGATGTCTTAGCAAGGATGCGTTTAGTATTGGTTATTTTCTACTACTGGTTATTTTGGACAAGGATTTTTAGAGCACATATTTATTGTAAGGGATCGTTGGTGGTAGGTATTTCAGTCGGGCCTCCTTACTACTGTTCCCCCTCGCTGTATAATCCTTAGTAAGGCTGCTTTTACAGAGGGATCCTTGGTATGACACCCTTTTCAGTGAGGGTTCCTAAACGCGCGCTCAAGTCGTAATGGGTTGTTCAGTAAGGGGTCCCGAGACTTGCAGGGGATCTCAATCAGGATGCGCGTGTGCGTTTGCGACGCGTTCCTTAGTCAGGATACGTTGGGCAAGAGTTCCTTGGTCAGAACACACTGCAGCACGCATCCCTCACTAAGGATGCATCCGAAATGAATTCCATCAGTAAAAGGTTTCTTCAGTTAAGGTGCCTTAGTCATGTTTCAATAGTACGGGGCCCTTTTGTAAGGATATTATTATGCCAGCGATGCGCGTTCTAAGTACATTGTTTCTGGTATTCGGACTTTCTTCTGATATGTGGGAATGTCGCGGTAGGCCTACAGGAGTGCAGGACGGTCGGAGTTTGTTCCAAAGAGGGGGAGGGCGGAGGGAGGGCGCAGGCGAAACACAGCCCAGGAGGACCAGGAGGGGACAGACGGGAGACAGACCCTACGGGAGACAGACCCTCTTCGGCTGCGCGTGCACTGGCTGGCGCGTTTGGATCCCGAGGCGGGGATTCGTACATAACCACCGCATGGAGGATAGATTTTCGGAGACGTCGGCAGGCGGTGGATGTGGATATATTTGGGCTCCCAGGGGCAAACATATATCCATGTCCACCGCCCGCTGGGTCCTAAGGACATCGGTTCCCAGGCTGTGGATACCCGCCTCGCACGGATTGCGTTGACTTGGCCTCCCCCGCGGGCTCCGAAAGCTGCGCACCAGAGTCCAGTCTTGCCGAGGTCCACTCCTTTCGCGTCGCCATCCCCCCCACCTCTCGGGTGCTGCTAGGCAGAGCTCCGAGCAAGCCAGAATCCCCTCCAGACCAGGGTTATCCCAGATGATTCGGGCGTCCACCGACCAACCCACTCCCGAATCACTCACGAATCTTCGGGGCTGGGGGCGATCAGGGGTAACTTCTGGTTCGTGCGCCAGGGGCGCAAATCGGAGTTACCCCAGGCAGGAGCTATCCCGGATAATTCGGGGGGCGTCCTTGGCCCAAGGTGTCCCCAGGTTTCCCGGGTAGGCCCAGATGGTTTCCAGAGCACCACTTCACGAGGCCCAGAGGGTCCCAGGGGTTCCAAAATGGCGCGGCAAGCTGGTGACCCTTGCTCTGTTTGGGCCAGTGGGAAATTCCAGACCCTCGCCGATTCCCCCCCCTCCCCTCTGCACGCCAATGCCTATGCCCCTGTACCCCCCTCTGGCCGAGGCGCAGGAGGGGGCGAAGAAGTTGATCCTGGAGCTGCGCCAGGCAGCGTGCCCCAATGGGTAGCGGGAGGAGGAAAACGAGGACAGATACAGGAAGAAGGAGGAGGAGGAGGAGGAGGAGGAGGAGGAGGAGGAGGAGGTTCCTCGAGTTCCTCGAGGTTGGCGACGGCGCGGGGGCCCGAGACTCGCCCGGACGCCAACTCCGTCGCAATCGCACGGAGTGCGACGAACCGTTGCTCGAGCTCCGCATTGGCGAGCTGACCGTGGACAGAGAACGCAACATGGAGGTCGACGCCGGCATCCCGGCCGACGAGTCCCGCCGCGCCGCTGCCTTGGCAGAGGCACGGGGTTCGGCGGCGCAAGATCCGCCTCCCCCTTCCGCTGCTGCTGGCGGCGCGGCGTCCTCGAGCGCCAGTGCCGCCCCCGCGCGGATGGCGGTCGATGCTGGCGTCGGGCAGTCAGCCGCCGGCAGCGCCGAGGCTATTTGCCCAACGTGCCACACCGCCTCCACGTGGTGCCGCTGCACGCGAGTTGCTGCCCCCGCCGGCGCCTCGAGCCAACTGGGCCTGGGGCCCGCCGCCGCCGCCCCTGCTCGCCCACCCCCGCCGCCTGCTGCCGTGGCCAGTGGCCGGCCGGCCCGAGGCGCGGCCCCCGCCTTCGCCCAGGCGCGCGCCGCCGCGCGGGCTTCCACCGTGCCCGAACAACGTGGAAAGGCACCGCCGCAACCTCCCGACCCAAACGCCGCCCCACATGTGCCCTTCCGCAACGGGCACTGCTGGTGCCCTTGGTGCCCAGAGCGAGGCTTTCGCACGCCTGGCGATTTCGTGCGGCATCTCACGGCGACGCACACAGGCCAGGCCATGGACGCCAACATGCGGGACATGGTGGTCGCCCTCCAGCGCAGCGTCTGCGCCGACTCCATTTGCGGTGGTCTCTGGCCATTGGACCAACGCACGTGCACCCGCTGCTGACAACCAACGCCTTGCCGCCCCCCGTCGTCGGCGACATCATCACGGGCGCCGCGACTGCGGCGCACCGCGCGCAAGGCCGCGACGACGCCGCAGCTGCCCCAGATGCTGCGCAACCCGCCGACGACGACGCCGCCCTCGATGACGGCCCTGTGGTGAGCGCGCCCGTCCTGCCGCTCGACTTCACACGCCGCGTCCGCGCCCTGAGCCACTGCCGCTCCCGTCTCCTCTGTGCTAGGAGGAGTCGGCTTGCAGGGGGGGGCGGGCGCGGGGGGGGCGCCAACGACCGCGCCGATTCCATCGCGGCCCGCTGCCCCTTCCTGGGGCTCTCAGGAATCCTCTTGGCCCAGTCGGCCTCGCAGTCGGCGCTGGCGTCGTCGCCCGCGAGCGCCAGCCGGCGGGCGGGCCGACCTTGTTGCGCATGTTTGGCGCGAGAGACCCGCGCAGGCCTCGCGCTGCGCCCGCGCCCCAGGGCGACGGCCCAGGCCCTTGTAGCCTCCCGCGCTGACGCGATGGCCTCGCGCGCGCGCAGGAGCGGGCGCCGCCGACCGTTCGGTTCGGTCCCGCGCACTTCTAATGCGAGAACGCAAAGCCCCCCATGCTGCTCGCGCGCTTTGCGCGCTGAGCAATGCGATGCAGTTGCGACGGCCGCGCGTTCAATTTGAAACCGCAACGCAAGTTTCCATTCCCGCGCGCGGTGCGGTGCATGAACTTACAGATGCGCCGACGGTCGAGAATTCGCGCGCGCGCCCGCGCCTGCCATGTTGGGCGCGCGCACTGGGCCCGGAAATCTGTGGCTCGGCCGCCCGATGCGCCCCAAAAGTCGCCCCGCCCCCCCCCCCGCCCCCCTCCCCCTCAAAACTCTTCCGCGCTCCTGGAAAAACCACGCCGCCGAGGCGGGAGCTCGGGCCGCGGCCTGATGGTCTCCGGGGCACAGGGGAATCAAAGGAATCAGTACGGAATCAGTACAGAATCAAAACAGAATCGGCACAACTGCGACCCCTGATTCTAGCGGAATCAAAAGAATCAGTACGGAATCAATACGGAATCAAAGGTGGAATCGGCGATGGAACCAGAATCGGCCAGAACGGCGAAGTAGGCCAGAATCGGTGCCAGAACTCATGCAGAGAGGCCTTTTTCCCGCGAGTTCACTGCGGCGGGTGCGCGGCGCGGGCGCGCCGCGCGACTTCGCTGGTTCAGCGAGGCGCGCAGTCGGCGTTCAGAGTGAACAGGTTCTTTTCAGGGCGATATCCTGGCGGCGCGCTGGCGCATTGCGCATTTGCGCATTCCTGGCGGGCTGTTTGAGGGCGACCCGGCAGCGTCGGCCGAATGGCCCGCAAATACCGCGCGGCCGATCGCGCGCCCCGTGCGGCCACGTCGACCGCCGTGTGCCGCGACGGCCGCGCGCCCCGGACCGCGCCATTGCCGCGTTGGATTGGACGGCGCAGCGCCCGTCCTCCAACAGTCGTCACGTGCATATCGCGCGTGTCGAGCCAGCAGCAGTCGCTCCCAGAAGCAGCCTCGACAGGCGCACCATGCCCTCTGTCGCCCGGTTCCGATCCAAATCATAGTTTCTTAGGATGCGCTTGCGCGAATGTGGGCGCGCGGGCAAGTAACGCGTGCGCGCGCTTGGCGCAGCCTGGGAAATCCAACATGGAGCCCCCCGGGGGCGCGGGGCGCCGGCGACGCCTCCGCCCGCCTCCCGCGCGCCCGACCCCCCCCGCAAGCCGACTCCTCCTACTCTGTGCCACCCCTGGAACCGCTGCGCCGACGGCGCCCTGGAGTGGTCGCAGCTAGAGGAAGTGCGCTCCAAGCTCCTGCTTGGGCCCATCCCCGAGGGCGCGCCCGACCCTGAGGAGGTCGCCCTGCGCCTGAGGCTCTGGGAGTCCAGAGACTTCGCTGAGCTGCTAGACCGCCTGGAGCAGCACCGGGTCCTCGCCAACAGGGCCAAACGACGGCGACGCGGGGACACCGCCGACTCCGAGGGCAAGCAGCGGCGCGCGAAGCACCTGGCTGCCGAGGGGGCCTTCCGCAAGGCCGCCCTCACCCTCACGGGCGACACCCTGCAGACCAGCGCCGAGGAGGACCCCCGCTTCGCCCGCCAGCTCCTCCCTCGGACCGGCCGCCCGGACCGCGCCCTCGCTGCCGCCTGGCCGGGGCCCCCCGGCGCGCCGCCCGACCCACAGGCCGCCCCGCGCGGGGCCTCTGGCCCCCCAGCGCCGCCCCCCCCCGCGGCGGCCGCCCCGCCCGCCGACCCTGCCGCGCCGGCCGCTCGCGACGGCCACCGCGACGCCGACGATGACGACAACGACCGGGACGGAACTAAAGACACGACGGCGTCCGCTGGTCGAAGCTGACCGCCCCAGGCCCCACGGGCGCGCGACCAGAGCACCTCAAGGAACTTCTCCGTGCCGCGCCGCCGCGAGGCCGCCAGCCTGCGTCGCGCGCTGACCGCCACGGCGCTCTCCACGCTTCCACGCGGTGGGTCGTCCGGGCCCGCCTCGCGTGGCAGAAAAAGCGCAACGGGAAGCCACGCCCCATCAAAATGGGAGAAGTCTTCCGCAGCTCATTTGCAAAACGCTATACCAAGAAACGCTTGCACAAGCTGCGGGCGGTGTTCCGTCAGGCTCACCAGTGTGGTGTCGGTGCCCCCGGCGCTTGTGAGGCGAAGGCGCATTGGCGCGGCGTTGTGGAGGAGCTGGCCGCCGCTGGGGCCATCCCCGCTCTGGTCGCCCTCGACGTCGATCGGCTCTGTGGAGTGGGACTCCATGCGCAACGCGATTGGTCCGGGCGCCTTTCCGGAGATCGCCGCTTGGACGCACTGGCACCACCGCGGGGCCGAGCAGGGCGACGGGTTTGGCACCGTCAAGGCCAGGCTCGCACTCGCGGCCGCGCGCGCGCCCACCCTCGCCGCCGCCTCGCCCGCGCCGTGGCGCTCGCCGCCGCCGACCAGGGCCGGCCCCCCGCCGCCCCTGGCCCTGCTCCCCCGGCCGCCGCCCCGGGCCCGCCTGCCCCTGCGGCCGCCGCTGCCCCTGCTGCTGCCGCGCCAGCCCCGGGAGGCGCCCCCGACGCGGCCGCCCCCGCCGCCGCCGGCCTGCGGGCGCGCGAGGAGTGGTACGTGGACGACGGGCAGGTGTTCGTCCGACCAGTAGACCTCGACCCTTCGCTCAGGGCGCTGGACGCCAGCCTCGCGCGCTTCGGCGGCACCCGCGGCTCTGTCGCCGAGGGCTCGGCCAAAAGCTCCCGCCGCCCGCCCCGCCCGCCGGAGCAGCGCCACCTCCACGAAGGCTGGGGCACCGACTGCGTGCGCGCCACTTGCAACGCCCTCGACGAGGTCAAAGCGGTCGCGGAGAAGGCCCAGGCCGCCCGCCACGCGCTGCTCACTGTCAGCCACGCCCCTGCCGAGCTCGCCCTGACCCGCTGATGCGCCGACGCGTCGAAGCTCTCCTACGAGCTGCGCCTCGGCGGGGACAGGATCGGCCACGACCGGCTCGCAACATTCGACAGAGATCTGCGCGCCGCAGTGGAGAACATCGTCGGCGGCGACCTGCCAGACGACGCTTGGGAGCAAGCTACCACCGGCGTCTCTTGGGGCGGCCTCGGCCTACGCACCGCGGAGCGCGCGTCCACGGCCGCCTTCCCCGCCAGCCGCGCGAGCCCCCGCCCGCGCGTCCGCGAGATGGCCGAGCGTCTCGTCTTGGCTGGCCTGCGCACCGCGGCCGCGGTCATGGGGGCCTACGACCGACGCACGGAGGAAGCCGCGGTCACGCTAATGGGGCCCCTCCCTCCGACCCCTGGCAGGCAGCTCCTGGGATTCCTCGCAGACGAAGCCGACCAGTGCGAGGAACGGTGGGCGGGCCTCTTCGACGCTGGCGCACCCACGCACCACGGCTCCCCTGGGCGGAACGGCCGGCCCCAGCGCGTGGGCAGCGGCATCGCCCCCCTCGACGAAGACGAGGACGACGAGCACCCGGCTGCTGCCCCCCGCGGCCGCGCCCACCTCCAGAGGGCCATCCTGGCCCGCCTCGACACGCAGGCGCGCCTGGAGCTTCGCGAGCGCCACGCGCGGGCTGGCAACAGCCCGACGGTGCGCCGCCTGGAGGGCCTCAGCCACCCCGACACCAACCACGAGTGGCTTTGGGCTCTGAGCTGGCAGAAGGGGCACCTCCTCGACCACCGGGAGTTCGTCGAAGCGCTCCGACTACGCGTCGGCGCCGCCGGCCCCAGCGAGCCCACTCCTTGCCGCCTCTGCGGCGCCGAGCTGCTCGACTCTGCGGGCTCGCGCGCCTTCTGCTGCAGCAGGGCCGAGGCGGCGAAGGGCCACCACGCGCTTGCGCGGCAGGTGTACGAGGCTGCTAAGAGCTGCGACCCCGCCAGCGAGCTCGAGGCGCAGAGCCTCATCCCGGGCGCAAGGCTGAGGCTTGCGGACGTGCTCACAGGAGCGCTGGGGCATGGGTTCACCGCGCTCGACATCGGGATTGCTTCTCCCGACGCGTGCAATGCTGGCCCGGACTGCGTGGCCAGCACGTGCGAGCGCAAGGTGGCCTCTTACGCCCCACACAGCGACGTCCTGGACTTTCAGAACATCCTGTACCAACCGCTTGTCTGGTCAGCATACGGCCGGCCCCACCCCCGGGCGACATCCATCCTCCGCACACTCGCGACCCGCCTTTCCAGGCGGAGGGGATGCTCGGACGGGGCGTGGCGGCACTGCCGCCTGGCAGGCGCGGCCGTCGTAGCGCTCTGGCGGCGGGCGGCCTGGCCGGGCGGAGGCGCCGACGACCGAACGCATCCCTCCTGTCCACCGCCCTGCACGGTCCGCGCCCCCCGTTCCGCCCTGCCCCTCCCTCGGCCTGCCTGAGGCCTGCGTGCCTGCTTGCCGCGCTCCTTCCTCCCCATGGGCCCGGAGGCCGCGCGCAGGCGCTCTCCGGCGGCGGCGTTGTCGCCAGTATTCCTCCCCCCCTCCTCCTCCTCCTCCTCCTCCTCCTCCTCTCCTCCTCCTCCTCCTCCTCCTCCTCCTCCTCCTCCTCTCCTCCTCCTCCTCCTCCTCTCCTCCTCCTCCTCCTCCCCGCGTCCTCCTCCTCCTCCTCCTCCTCCTCCTCCTCCACCTCCTCCTCCTCCTCCTCCTCCTCCTCCTCCTCCTCCTCCTCCTCCTCCTCCTCCTCCTCCTCCTCTAATGTGACCTCTGGTTGTGCTGGATTTTGATGCGTCGCCGGCAGGGCCACACGGGTACCACATAACGGTCTTGGTGACTATGCGAGCCGCTCCCACGTATGGTTTCACGCGCGTCCGCGTCTGGTGTCGGTCGGTGTTTCTCGTCCTCCTCCCTCCTCCTCTTCCTCCTCCTCCTACTCCTCCTCCTCCTCCTCCTCTCCTCCTCCTCCTCCTCCTCCTCCTCCTCCTCCTCCTCCTCCTCCCCCTCCTCCTCCTCCTCCTCCTCCTCCTCCTCCTCCTCCTCCCTCCTCCTCCTCCTCCTCTCCTCCTCCTCCTCTCCTCCTCCTCCTCCTCCTCCTCCTCCTCCTCCTCCTCCTCCTCCTCTTCTCTCCCTCATTGCATCCCAGTCTGGGGCGAGTGCCCGCTATTTGTCTGCATCGCCCGGTCCCTTTGGGATGTCCTGTCTGGCCGCTAAATTTGGCCAGCGCACTCACGTGTCCCCTCCCATCCTCCTCCTCTTCCTTCCTCCTCCCCGTCCTCCCCCTGTCCTCGTTTTAAGGCGCGGGCGCGCGCGCCTAACAGCGGGGCCGGGTGGCTCACGCCCCGCGGCCGCGCCCTCGCCCAGTGAGCTTTCGCCGCGCGTTGTGCGCAGCGGTCATTTCCCTCCTCGTCCCCCCTTTCTCCGTTCCTTTCCCCCCTCCCCTCCTGCCCGTCCAACTCCCTCCGATGTGGTGGCGTTAACCTGGCCGGCCACTGTTGCGCGCTGCCGCGTTCGTGCTCGAGCCCGCTTTCGCTGGCACCGGCGATAAGGGCCAATTCGCGGTCGCTGTCAGGTTCCTGACAGGCCGCTGACTGGTGCTGCTGCGCGACGGCGAATGCCAAACGGCGTTTTGCAGAAGATACCTTTTCCACGGCCAGTACAGTCGAAGCCCTTCATCCGCGAAGCTGGAGGGGACGGGGGACGAGGAGGAGGAGGAGGGGGAGGAGGGGGAGGAGGAGGAGGAGGAGGAGGAGGAGGAGGAGGAGGAGGAGGAACACCAGCAATTGAATATGAGGAGGAGGCAGGAGGAGGGGGCAGGCAAGAGTCGGGGTCTCCGTCCGCCTCCTTTGCGCAGCTGCCCCTCACTGGCGCCGAGTCGCCGCCTGCTCAGCTCTCGCTGAGCCCCTGGACCCCCCCCCCCATCCCACCCCTCTCTCGGCTACACTAAAGAGTGACCTTTCGCAAGAGTGACCGTTGCTGTTCGGCTTTCGGGGGTCGCGGGGTGGGGCAAACACAGCACGCAGGCCGCTGCCATCGAACCGCGCACGCAGCTATCGACAGGCCGCGCACCAGAAGTCACTTTTGCCTAGGCGCTGGCGCCCATACCAGCGTTGGCGCTAACGTGCTGGCGCCCATGCCAACTTAGGCGCCAGCGTCGGTGCTGGTGGAGGCGATGGCGATGGTGACAACGTAGGCGGAAAGGTCGGTTCTGTCGCTGGTGGTGGTGTAGTCGATGGCGTTGGTGCCGGCGGAGGCGTTGGTGCTGGCATCGGCGGATGGCGTATGTGAGGGTCAGCCTTCGAGAGCGGAGGTGTTCGGCGAGCTTCAAACGCGAGGGCGCCGACGATTCGCGCGCGGCCTCCTGCTCCGCCCCACTGGCTTGCACATTGGCGCGCAGTGTGCTTCGAGCGCCTCGAGCCCTGAGCGAGCGAGGGGCCGGGAAGTGCGCACTCGTGAGGGTCAGCTAGATGCGCAGGGGCTCGACGAAGAGGAGGAGGAGGAGAAGGAGAAGGAGGAGGAGGATGAGGAGGAGGAGGAGGCGGCGGAGGGGAAGGTTCTGCTCCTGCTCCCTCCTCAGTCCTCCTCCGCTGCCCCGCCCATCCCACTCGCTACCCCCCCTTCTCCCTGACCCTCGCTCCTCTCCCTGCCTCTCCCCTCCGTGCTCAACCCCGCTTGGCCCAATGCCCCCCCTGCCCCCCTCCCGAGGAGTACGAGCGCGGCAGCGGCGAGGCCGAGCGCGAGGCGCGGCTGAGGCGCCCCCGCACCGGCCTGCCCGCGCCCGCCCGTTCACCCTCCCGCCCTGGGCTCGCGTTCCGGCCAGGAGATCTCCTCCCGGCAGCCTGGGAAAAGAGGGATGACGAAGGGGAAGGGGAGCCGGCAGGCACCACCTCGTCCTTCTCTTCCCCACCCTCCGTCCCTCCTCCTCCCTCCTGCCTCCTCCTCCTTTTCTTTATTCCTCCTTTTCCTCCTCCTCCTCCTCCTCCTCATCATCATCATCATCATCAGCATCATCAGCATCATCATCATCCCCCTCTCACCAACATCGTCCATTCGTCTTCCTTACGAATAGTGCCTCACCGTCGCGGGAAGGAGTTTCGCCTGCGACTTTCAATCCGCGGAGTTGACAACAGCTTCAAGGATTGAGGGCGGTTCTGCTTTGAAAATGTGGTTCTTGCGCTAGCGCCGCGAACGTTCATTTCAAGCATGTGCAAGAGCTTCGCGGATTGAGTGAGGGCGGTTCGTTTTCAAAAGATGGCTCTCGCCTCAGCGTCGTGCGTGTTCGTTCCTTCACGGGTTGAGCGCGGTTTGTTTTCAACATGTTGTTCTCGCCATAGTTCCGTGCACGTTCGTTTCAAATAATTGCAAGAGCATCGCCGATGGACGGCGGCTTGTTTTCAAAATGTGGTTCTCGCATTAGCGCCACGCACATTCGTTTCAAAAAGATTGCAAGAGGTTCACGGATTGTGAGCAGTTTGTATTCAAAATTTGGTTCTCGCTTTAGCGCCGCACATTGAGGGTGGTTCGTTTTCTAAATGTGGCGCTCGTGTTCGCGTCGCGTACACTTGTTCTCCTGGTTAACGTTCCAGAAATGGTGTTTTGGAGCGCTTTGGCATTGTCAGGGCGCAGCCGTTACGTTGATTCGCGGTGTTGGCGTCTCAGGAATGGCATTCTGGCACCATTCAGGACCGGCAAGACTCAAGACGCAACAATCAGGTCAACTCATGAAAAGAGGAACTTGGAGGGAGGGTGTTTGCCAACATCGTTCATGAACCTTGCGCTTACACTGGTCCTCCTCCTCCTTCTCCCGGTCCTCGTCCTCCTCCTCCTCCTCATCATATTGGCAAGTGAACGTCCGGTGGCTGTCTGGCGGTGCTGCTGGTCTTGGGCGCCAGCTGCGGCTTTGCCTGCCAGGCGCCGCCTTGGCAGCGACAGTCGGCAGGGTCCAGGGCGACCGCGCCTGCAGGGCCAACACGACGCCCGAGGCTGGTGCAGTGACGGTCACACAGGCTGCATTCGAAGAGCAGCAAGCAGCATAGACATGAAATGTTGGAGCTCCGAGCGGATTTGTTTGATCTGCTCTGGAAACATCTGGCGGCGCCTCCGGCGCCGCCCCTGGCGCGCTCCGCGCGCCGTTGAAAGGGGGTCCAGACCGTCGAAAGTATATGTTTATGCCGTTTCTTGTTCGACGACATGGGAACGAGGCCGTCGGTGGCCGCAGAGGGCAGCCGTGCGCAGAGACAAGTGAGCTGGGGCACCGACTTTCTGTCGACAAGTGGCTCCGATGAGGGCCGCGGAACCACAATGAGCCCTCCAACAACAAAAGTACGGATTCGGGAAAATACAATACAAAGGGGTGTCGCCGATTTGACAACGACACTATGCCGACACTAGTCTCACAGAGCGCTGCTGAACTACATTTGCTCATCAATAGGAGGTACGACTACGACAAATGGTACGGAATGACAAATTTTGGAGGCACAACAACACGACATGGTCTGTAATATACCATACGGAGAAATACTCCCTGAGTGATCACCTACCAGCACTTACAACAAGGGCTGAGGGGATTGCTCGTAGGTTTCTATTGTCAGTGTCTCTGCAATGCTGCCTCTCTCCTGCGTTTCGGTCGCCCTTCCCCTCCCCCTCGCGCTTGCTATTTCCTGTCCTGCCTTTTGCGCTCGGTCGGTCGTGCTTGGTCGGTTCGAGTGCCGTTCTGTCACAAGTTGTGAGGGAGATGGCCGCCAATCGGCTCGGCCCGCACGGATCTGGGCACAGGCCTCGAAACCCCCGCTCGCGGGCCACTCTTCTCACCTGGACGGGCGTATTTGGGACCCCGCCGCAGCGGGGCCTCAAGAGCGCCCCTGAGCCTGCGAGGGTGCTCCGCATGTTCTCGCGTGACCCCCCGTCTAGGAGTGCGAAGGGCCCTTAACTCATACAACTCGCAGGGAGGCACAAGGTGTAGGGTTGTCGACACCAGCTCCCCAGGGGCTATCATTTTTTCCCAACCATCCTGTTGTGTTGGGTCCTTGATTTGAATAGACACTGCCCCGCGTTCTTCTCCTCCTCTCCTCTCCTGACTCGGACCATCGGCGCAGGCATCTGCCCTCGCGGGGCACAGAGATGCGCAGGCGTGATTGCGTGCGCCATCGGCGCGCTTACGACGGGTCATGCGCAACGGGAGTTTCCTTTTCGAGGTCCCCAGCGCCCTCTCGAGGCCTCCAAGGACCTCCGGAGGCATGTAGAGACCTCCAGAGGTTCGTGTTAGTGGAGAGAACGCAGTGCGTGCGGGCGTGCGTGCGTGCGTGTCTTCGTGCGTGCGTGCGTGCAGGTGTATGTGTGTATGTGTGTATGTGTGTGTGTGCTTGTGCTTGTGTGGTTATGTGTGTGTGTTTATGTGTATGATTGTGTGTGCGTTCGTGCGTTTTTGTGTTAATGTGTCCGTGTGCGTGTTATTTGCTCGTTTCTCCCACGACGACTTCTCCGACCCCCTTGGCCGACGCTCCCGCCCCGACGAAGCAGTCGAATCCGTCAGCGACGACGACCCCGACGCCGCTCCGCTCCCCCCGCCCCGACGCCCCTCCCGAAATACGCCGTTGACGCCGCTCCCCCGGGCCGACGACCTGGCCCCGACGTTGCAGCCGAATGCGTGAACGACGGCATCCCCAAACGCCGTGCCGCTCCCCTGCCCCGGCGGCCCTCGCGACAGACGCCCCGACGATCTGCCCGTACCGTACCTGGCGTCGTACCGTATCCTGCGAGGGACCCGACGCTGTACCCGACGCCACGCCCAACGCCCCGTCCCTGGGTCTGATCCCCGTCCCCGACGCAGTCGCCGATGCCGTATCCGACGCTGACACCGCCCCTCCCGACGCCTCTCCCAGCGGATCGTACGGTGGCATGGAGCCACGGCAACCCTTCCGCTCCTCCCTGGACGCCTGACACGGCCCCAAGAGCAGGGGCCTGTGCCCCCGCCCCCGGGCCGCCTGCCCCAGCCCGTCGCTGCGCTTCCCGCGCGGTTCCCGGAGCTGCCGCTCGGCAGATCGGCGCCCTCTCAGCGATACCCCGAGCGCGAATCGGACTCCCCGGGTTGGGCTCTCAGCGCTTCCCCTCTCCCCCTTCCCCCCCACCTTCCCACCCGACGCCCCCATCGCTATCCGTCTGCCGTCTGCGACGGCCTCTCCGAGCCCCCCCCCCGTCCCCCCCAGCCCGAATCGAGCTACAATTCTGGACTCCGAACGCAGGGGACCCTGGACTGCCGACAGAGGACGGAGACTCGGCTGGAAACCGACGGGATCGGCTCCCATGCGGGAGCCCCTCACCACTCCAGAACTGCAGGCGTGCCTCGAAGAACTCGTGCGCGCATCGCGCCGGAGAAGGACCCGCTGAGCTGGGCCCGCCCCTCTCGTTCCCCCCTGCCCGAGTGTTGTGTTTTTTCTCCTCCTTCCTGGCCTCCGTCCTCGGCGAGCTCCTTTTCCCTCGTCGTGTCTTCCCTTGCCCTTGTGGTGCGGTGCATCCTCTCTTCCCCTCGGCTCTCCCGTCCCCCCTCCTCCGTCGGTCGTCCCGCCGTCCCTCTCCTCGGTCCGTCCGTCTCCCTCGGCTGTTTGCTGTCGCTCCTCGCTTCCCTCTTCGCTTGGCTTGCCCCCCTTACCCTTGTCTCGCTGGCCCCTTGTCGTCATAGTTCTGGGCGGCGTGCAGCCTGTCTGGCATCGCGTGGGTTAGCTTGCTCTCGGGCGGCTTTAACACGCTTTGGCTTGGCCGTGACTACCAGATGGCCGCACGTCTCCGTTGCTCCGCCCGTGCCGTTCCAGTGTGTGTGTGTGTGTGTGTGTGTCTGTGTGTGTGTGCTTGCGTGTACCGACGGTGCGGGGTTTCCCGCTTCTGAGGGCCCGGCGCGCGCGGGGCCTGCGCACGGCGGCTTTCGAGGGTCTACGCCTCGCCGCTTCGCGCGAAGCCGCGACCGATCAGAAGTGTGTGTTGGGGGTGTGCTCGAGTGTTTGTGCACGCCTCCTTCATTGCCACGCCCTGGCCTTCGAAATTATTTGTGTGCATAGAGGTACACATCACTATGTCGATGTCGATGTGTATGTCTATATATAGTGTGTGTGTATATATATATATATGTATTCCTCTTCCTATATGTTTATAAGCCCGGGCGGTGGGAAAACCCATCACCCCCCCCCAAAAAAAAACCGGACTCCCGGGATTTGGGGCTCTGGGACCCTCCAGCCGGGCCTCGAAGCGGCCCCCGGGCCTCACATGGCGCTTTGCCAGGCCTTCCCAGAACACCTAGGGCGATCAGGGGGGTCATCGGAGACGTCCCAGAGACCCCCAAGACAGCACAAGAGCGCTCCAAGAGTGACCGACGTGACCTCAAGATGGCCCAAGAGGCCTCCAGGACGGCCCCAAAGAGGCCTCCAAGAGCACTCCCAAGAAGGCCCCCCGAGGCAAAAATCATTGATTTTCTGTCGGTTTTGGGTGAATTTTAGGGTTCTCCTCTTTTCGGCTTCCCGACGCTCCAAGACGGCGGTCTTCTGGGCGTCCGAAGCCGCCTGGGAGGCTCCACAATCGCCCCACAACCATCCGAAAGGGCTTCCAGGCAGTCCAAGAGAGTCCCAAACCGGCACAGCACGGGTCCAAGATGGCCCTCAGAGAGCCGCATGGCGGCCCAACATGGCCCAAAGACACCCTCCGAAGCATTCCGAATCGTGACCCGGTCGTTCAGGGAGACCGCGGTTGGAGGCAGGGTGGCCCGAGGAAGCCCACGGAGGCCCCCAGAATACGCCCAGGAGGTCTCCAGAAGGCCTTAAGAAAGCCTGAAACAACGTTTGTGAGGCCCCTAGAGGCTCTCCAAGGGGGAGCCTCCGCAAAAAAGAGCTGAGGAGGATTGGGAGAATGCGCAGGGCATGGCGAAAATAAGGAAAAAGAAACATGGAGGAAGGATAACGAATAACATTAGTATAGCGGCGATGCCAGACAAGGCAATCAGGAGTTATCGCTATATTGTCGACTTGACCTTCCTGCTATTCCGCCTGCATACCACACTTCAAGGACCAAGGTGCATGGCGCGAAGCGCCACTGCAGTCTTGTGTACATATATATATATGTATGTTCATGCGTTTATAGGCCCACATGCAGACTCATGTATGTATGCACGCGGAGGGCGTTGTTCCCACGTTTGGGAGATCTACGCTTTCTCGTCTTATTTGTGGACGCACTGCTTGCAGCGTGTTCAGGTCCAGGATCGGCCCATGGCCCACCTGTCCGTGTAACGTCCTTTACCATCGCGTGTTCAGCGGTTTCCCATATATCAAAATACGGCCTGCCTGAAGCCCACATCTTGGGGCCGCCGTTCTTAACACGTTTTGCAACGTCGAGGGCGAACCTTAGGAAACACAACAAGCTGCTCCAGACGTTTTTTCACACCAGTTCTTGCTTAGCGATTCGTGACGACACATGGTCGCTGGCGAAAAGTTCTTGTGCACGCTCCCTGCGTTGATGTCCCGCATGTGATCCTGATTCAGACCTCCAGACACCTCCTCCTCCTCCTCCTCCGCCTCGGCTCCTGCGCGGATGATGTAGAAGTCGTTGTTCAATCAGATTCGCCTCCTGTCCCTCCTATATGCCACCTTCGTGCTCGCCGAGCGCTTGGCCAGACTAGCACTGCAGCTCTACAAGGGTGCAGCAGTTCCGTTGCCAGTCGCGTTCACGATGGTAGGTCGTGTACTGATCTCCCAGCTCATTGCTCAGCCTGTCCCCGCTTGGGAATCATTTCAGGTGCGCCCATGGGCCAAGTATATCAGGGTGCTAGTCAGTCCCGGGGCCAGCCAGCGTGGAATGTGGCGCGAGGCCCGCGAAGAATGGTTGTCCAGGAGTTGTGCGATTGCCCGTGCCAGCGCACCCAGCGAGGCGGCAATAAGACTGTACGAGACCGCATGTCTGTCAGTTCTTGTCTGTCTGTGCCGAGAGGTCGCTCGCAAAGAATCTGTCGCCCTCCACAAGCTCCTTCGCCTCCCTCTCAGTACCTTCTTCCCTGCACGACTGTACCGGGGTGTGCAAGTGGCTGCGATCGGGATGTCCCACCAGTGTTCAGGTGTATTCTGTTGGTTGTTTGGCGTGCGTCGACACACTCATTGACTAAATGGGAGCGGGACTTCTGACTAGTTGCGGGAGGGTGCGGACATCCAAGGCCTACACGTGCGCGTGCGCAAAGGTCTCCTTTGTGCACCCTGCTGGGTGCATGAGCGAGGCGTGCTACAACACGATCGACAATGCTCCAGAGACTGCCGCGGCCTCCGATTGCCAGCGGCCCGAACTCAAGCAGCCGTCGACGCTGCTACTGGCCCGCAGGACGCGCCGTTGCCAGGGGAGGACGGGCTTCCACAGCTCGGTATTCTGTCAGCCGCCGCTCCGCGGCCTGGTGGAGGCGCTGGAGGTTCGGGTGGTCGGGGTCGGGGTCGTCTGGGTCGTGAGCAGGGGTGTGGAGGCGGGGCAAGGACCTCATGGCGCCTTGGTCTCCTAGCTCGTGCGATCAGGATTCCCAGATCTATTGTATGAGCTGATCCTGTGGAGGCGGTAAGGCGCGGCTCCCTCCCGAACCACTGTCCCTCGCCGCTGTGCAGGGAAGGTGGCTCGCAGACTCAGACGTGCAATGCGTAGCCCACCTTACAATCCTCGCTCGGAGGGTGGATTGCCAGCCACAGAGATAATATTCTCACGCTACTCACGTGCAGGTTTGGCTGCCCTGGTCACCCCGACTCGCTCCTTCACTACCTCTCCTGCCCCCGCTTGCTTCACATCCTTGCACTACCCCGCCTGCACATTCCCACCGTCCCCCCTCCTGTGGTCCGGCCTCGGGAAGGAGGAGGAGTGTGACGGCAGCGATCTCACAATCGAGATTTTAGTTCAGCGTATTTGATCTTCTGAATACCCGCGCCGATCTTGCAGTAATCCCATCGCAGCTCAGTCGAAGCTCAGCAACTATGCTCACGACGCTTCAGCACGGCATGCTGCTCTTGTCCGTCGGTAACTTGGCTGCCTTCGTATTGGACGTGCATTCCTCATTCTCCGCCTCCGCCTCCCCTTTTCCTCCCTCTTCCTGCTCCTCCTCCTCCTCCGCCTCTTCTCTCTACACTGAGCTCCTCCTCGTTCTCTTCCTCCTCCCGAACGCACTTCTCAAAAGGCTGGACGCTGAGCGCGCTGAGCTGGCCGCGGCGCAGGAGGAGCTGGCGCAGGCGCGCGCTCAGGCTGCGGAGGCGCCCCGCGGCGGCCGTGACACCGACCCCACCCCAGTGCATTGCAAGGCCCTCGCGCACGCGCTCAGCGTCGGCTGCAGGTACGTAAGAGTGACCTTTCGCTGGAGTGATTGTTGGTGCGAGCACACCGGGGCCCCCAGAAGAGTGAACACGATACGTTCAGCAGCGTCTTGTGCCTCGAGCTGCGTGCGGGGGGCGGGTGTTGGTCAGGGCCATCACATCTTCCGGATTACGAGGGACTCTCGTCTCCTCTCAACCCCCGTTCCTCGCCCCCCACCCCTCACTCGTCCGCGCACATCTTAGATGCTCCGACTCTAATTCGACACCGGTTCGATTCAAATTCGACTCAGATTCGACTCAGGTTCGGCTCAGGTTCGATTCAAGGTCGACTCGAATCAGCGGACGTTCGACGCAGCTTCGACGCACGAGTGTAGCGAGTGGCTTCAGGAAGGTCCCCAGAATGGGCATCAACAAGTCTCGGGCCATATGATGCGCCAACCCTCCTCTCCTTGGCAAGCCCCCGTCGGCGCACGCGGCCCTGGGTCGGCGGAGCTGCACGCACGAGCAGGGCGTCGCTCGCATTTCCGTCCCCCCCCATTGCGGCTCCTGGGCCCGCAGGCTTCGCGCCAGCAGCGCGAGGAGGCCGCTTCTTGGCGCCAGAATCTGGCCAAGGTCTCGCAGGCGCGTGGGCGCGGCGCGCGCGCGCGAGCGCTGGAACCCGGAATCGTTGAATCTAATTTGGATCCCCGATGGGCTTGCGGTGAAGACGCTGATGTATGGAGCAGGGGCCTCAAAGGGCACTGGAAACGACAGGGCGGGAGTGCAAGAGTTTTGTCAGATCTGTTACTGCTTCGAAATGCGTTCGGTTTGGACCCTTCTTTCGCCACGGGTGCACCGTGTTCGTTTCCTTTGGTGGGAGCCTGGTTCAGACCACTGCTCGTTGACCGGATCCGAGCCCATGCCAAACCGGTTCCAATCCTATGTAGCATCTTCGGACTGCTCAGGCCGTTTCGGTGACTCGTCTTTTGCCCCTTTCGGTGAACTATGTCCTTGCACTGTTCATGGTCAAGAGGTAGCTGTTCGAAAACTTTAAAATGTGCTGTGCCGTTTCCAGGGTCCACGGGCTCAGGTGTTGGGGTTCGGGCGAGAGTCTAGCTTCCGAAGCTAAATCGGGGAACCTGTCCGTGCCGAGGCTCGCCGTGGCCAGAAAAATGTTTCGTTCTCTATTCGCCCTTCCTGGTGTTTGCACGGTGACTGGAACATGCCCGCGTTGTCCGTCTCAAGAGTTGATGGGCCTGTTTTCCACCACCACCACCACCATAAGCTAGAGGGGGAGTGGGGGAGTGGGTCCTCCTCCTTCTCCTCCTCCACCTCCTCCTCCTCCTTCTCCTCCTCCTCCTCCTCTTCGTCGTCCTCCTCCTCCTAATCCTCCACCTCCTTGCCCCCTCCAACTTATGGTGGTGGTGGTGGTGGTGGTGGTGGAAAACAGGCCCATCAAGAGCGGCCGACGCGGGCGCCCAAGAGGCCTCCGAGGCGGGCCGAAGGGATGACCCACGGCCCGAGGAGAAGGCCCCCAGAGAGAGGCATCCGAGAGGGGGTCTGCGGGTGGGGGGTCAGAGGCGGCCTTGGCCCAAGGCGAGGAGGAGGAGGAGGAGGAGGAGGGTCAAGGGTCACGGGTCAAGGGTCAAGGGTCACAGGTCAACTATTGCGCATACCATCATTTCACATCAATCGTTCCGCTCGGCATCAGGTCCACAGTTGGAGCCATGGATCAGCAGTCTTTCGGAGAGATGTTGAAGGGAGTTGTCAAGCAGGGGATTAAGGAGTAGTTGAAGCCTATCCGCGAGTCGACCGCCTCGACGAATCAAAAGGTCGACGATATCGGTAAGACAGTTGAGGGTCACAGCCAGCAGATCGCCGCAGTGCAATCTCAGATTGGACAGTCGGGCTGCGGTGCGGGGGGCGATACTGGGAGCGGAAGCGGGAGTGGAAGTGGGGGCACATTCGTTCCGGCCTATTTCACGATCGACGGCTTCTCGACCTGGGACGATCGCCGGGCCACGGGGATCTCGAGGATGGACGCAGAGCCCTTCATGGCACGATTGAAGGATCATCTTCCTGAGTCGCTACGTTCCAAAGTTCAAGAGTTCGAGTTGTTCGTCAGCCGCTCAAAAAGCATTCGCGTGCACGTTACCTCTCACGCAGTGGAGATCGCATTGATCTACAAAGAGTTTCTGGAGAACGAGGCGAACTACTGGAACAACCGCAAGCTATGGACCTATGCTCAGAGGTCCCACCCTGACCAGATCCACTACGAGAAGATCGGCAAGGCTAGGGCCTTCCTGGACTATAACGCTAAAGCCTCCCAGCATAATGCGACCGCCAAATGCTCCTACAACCCCCACTGGGTGTTCACGCGCAACTTCGATGGGGAGGACGTGGAGATGGGGTACGCCGGCGCGAAGGGGGACACGTGGTGGAACGAGGCTAACACGCAGCGAGCGTTCAACATGGACTCCGCTGCGATGGACAAAGAGATGTGGACATTCAAGCGGGCGCGAGCTGCCCGCACACACACACACACACACACACACACACACACACACACACACGCACACAGTTTCACACATAGCATGGGTAACATGTAACACTGGTGAGAAAGGGAAGGCCGCCGCTGGCAACATCTGCAAGTACCTCCGGTAGTACGTGGGGGGTTTGTGGCTTGCCTACAACAAATTCCGACTTGGGGGGTTATCAACGGTTTCACGTATAGCGGCCATACCGTAGTAGCAGTTGGTATTTGTGATTGCACTTTTCTTGTTCTTAGATCTTGGATACCGGAGGGTAGGAACTTTACCACCGGACAGTATCGGCGTGGCGTCGTGTTCCACAATACCATTTTCATGTCAGCACACATCCTACACATCCTAGACCACCTTGAAGAGGATGGACGTGCCAGCGAGGTCTTCCAGGGCACCGTCGACTTCGTGTACGAAATTCGTAGCGACAGTCAGCACGTAGATTATCAAATCGTGGTCGGAGTTGATGCCAATGTTCAGTTCCCATGCAACTACGAGGACCTGGCAGGCCCACTGGTGTACAAGCGGAAACGGCAATATCCACCAGGACCCGTCCGTGTGACATCGTCGTGGTTGGCTGCTCTCGGCGCGCGAGCAGCCAACTCTTTTCCTGGATCAGGAGATGATGATCGTGCGCTGCCGCTCTGGACTCGTGCCGTGAAACACCAGCCGGAGTCCAGGTCTCAAATCGATTATTTATGTACGTCGCCTGGCTTGGCGGGGTCTGCACGGGTGGTTCACATCAAGAGGAAGGTTTTCCACAAATCGGATCATCCACCCCTCGGTGGGAAGTTACAGTTTATCCGAGCCGTGGGGACGGGAGTCCCGACCACCAAGGGGGATCATTGGATGGAAGCCGTGCAACGAATCGAGTTTGCACCAGTTTTGTTTGAATTGTGCTCGGTATGGGGAGTGCGATTTGTCTAGCATGCAGGCTGGTTTTCTGAAGTCCGCTTCGACTGCCCAGCACGACACCCGCGGGAGGAAACGCCCCGAGCCGGAAAATTCTCTCAGCAAGAAGGTGCAGCAAGCTAGGAAGTGCGTAGCAAATTCTACAGCGGACACCCGGAAGGACGCGGTCATCCAGGTGAGGCGCATCCGTCGTAATACTCGGCGGTGGCGAGGCGAGAGTCAGCTGGCCAAGTTGTCGAGTGCCCAGCCGCAGATACCAAGTCTTGTGCACTTGAGGATGTTACGACAGCTGGCCGCCGACAGAACTTTGTGGTGGGCGGGCTTGAAAGATTTTGGGGAGCGGCGATTCGGGGATCCAAGGAACAACGCTGTACAGCAACATCTCCGGCTAGAGTCTCTTGCAAGCGTGAGCCGGAATCCGAGGCTTGACGGTCGCAGCCTTCCTGTCTTAGAGTTCTTCCACGTCGTCTCTGGCAGCGCGGGCATGCAATTTGGGGCGGTCGCCGGGGTGGGCGGCGCTCCGCCGGACATCTGCGAAGCGTTACCTTTCAAATTCCGTATACAAGATATGGAAGTTATGTCAGACGCGGTACTTGAGCAATGATTTTGAGGATCCGCCGACTTGGAAATCATCGACTACATTGGCATCTCCAAGCTGGCAAACCCCATTGCGTTCGATGAGTTTCGATACATATGCAAATTCCATTGCTTTGGAAAGTGGTATTCTCGGAGCTTGCAGCCTCTCTCGCGGCAGTCGCAGCCCGTGAGTCGTGTGGCAGCCTTTGGTTTCAAGGCAGGCTTTTCGTTTGACGACATTATCGCAGTCCTAGCCCAGGCCGTGACGATTGCAAGACAGTTGGGCCTGCCGCTCGTCCTGGGCACGTTGGACGTCAAGACAGCCTTCGACAGAATCGTGCACAACCACTTGTCTCGAATACTTATGACGCATGGTGTGCGCCCGAACTTGGTTCGCGCAGCGTTGCGGGAAATGTCCATTTTGTCTTGCACAACGCTTCCAGGCGCGACTGCTCCCACTTGAACTCGGCGGCTAGAAAGGGGGAGTGGGACCCCCCGACCTTTTTAATTGTATGGTGGAGTGCTTCCTTGAACCCAGTGTGGACAGTTGGCTGAGCAGGCAGCTTGGCTTTCGCAGTAGCGACGAGGGCGACTTGCTAAACCAAATCATGGTCCAAGAACTCACGGCGAGTATAGAATTCACCTGGAAGAAGCCTTCCCTCGAGGTGATGGCGCACGGGTGATTGGCAGAGGAGAGCACTGCAGCGCCGATTATCTGGCAGCGGGCCGGCAAGAAGCTGTTCATTTTGTTGCGGTGGACCATGCGGTTCTTTTGGGCGCGCGCGTCAGTTCCAAAGCAGACGCTGCATCGGCTGTGGAACACCGACTGGGGGAAGCGGAAGATGATTGGGTTCACGCGAAGGCTTTCCGAAGCAGAGGCTCCATCAAGAGCAAGCTGAGGGCGTGGTGCGGCGGGCCGGCGGCCAGCGTGATGCTGGGCGCATGCGCGCGGCACGTGAGCCGTCATCTTTGCCATGCTTTCGGAATTGCAATTTCTACGAAAAACGCTTCGTCTACGCTGGAGGCCAGACGAGGGCGCAAAGGCTGCTAATTTGAAGGAGTTTCTGTGGAACTACCGTCATCCTCACCCCCGGCGCGGGGAGCACAGAGGCCCAGAGCGGCCTCCGGCACCGTTTCCGGACAGATCCGCTAGATCCGGTGGATCCGGTGCGTCGCGACGAATCCCAAACCGGCGCCCTCGCTTGAGACATCCTCACAAAACCGGCCCCGGGGGAGGTGCCCAGAGGAGCCGAGCGGCCTCCGGCACCGTTTCCGGACAGATCCGGTGGATCCGCCGACGAATCCCAAACCGGCGCCCTCGCTTGAGACATCCTCACAAAACCGGCCCCGGGGGAGGTGCCCAGAGGAGCCCAGAGCGGCCTCCGGCACCGTTTCCGGACAGATCCGCTGGATCCGTGGATCCGCCGACGAATCCCAAACCGGCGCCCTCGCTTGAGACATCCTCACAAAACCGGCCCCGGGGGAGGTGCCCAGAGGAGCCCAGAGCGGCCTCCGGCACCGTTTCCGACAGATCCGCTGGATCCGGTGACGAATCCCAAACCGGCGCCCTCGTGAGACATCCTCCAAAACCGGCCCCGGGGGAGGTGCCCAGAGGAGCCCAGAGCGGCCTCCGGCACCGTTTCCGGACGGATCCGGAGATCCGCTGGATCCGGGGACGAATCCCAAACCGGCGCCCTCGCTTGAGACATCCTCACAAAACCGGCCCCGGGGGAGGTGCCCAGAGGAGCCCAGAGCGGCCTCCGGCACCGTTTCGGACAGATCCGGTGGATCCGGTGGATCCGCCGACGAATCCCAAACCGGCGCCCTCGCTTGAGACATCCTCACAAAACCGGCCCCGGGGGAGGTGCCCATGGAGGAGCCCAGAGCGGCCTCCGGCACCGTTTCTGGACAGATCCGGTGGATCCGGTGGATCCGCCGACGAATCCCAAACCGGCGCCCTCGCTTGAGACATCCTCACAAAACCGGCCCCGGGGGAGGTGCCCAGAGGAGCCCAGAGCTGCCTCCGGCACCGTTTCCGGACAGATCCGGTGGATCCGGATGACGAATCCCAAACCGGCGCCCTCGCTTGAGACATCCTCACAAAACCGGCCCCGGGGGAGGTGCCCAGAGGAGCCCAGAGCGGCTCCGGCACCGTTTCCGGACAGATCCGTGGATCCGCTGGATCCGGATCCGCCGACGAATCCCAAACCGGACGCCCTCGCTTGAGACATCCTCACAAAACCGGCCCCGGGGGAGGTGCCCAGAGGAGCCCAGAGCGGCCTCCGGCACCGTTTCCGGACAGATCCGGTGGATCCGGTGGATCCGGTGGATCCGCCGACGAATCCCAAACCGGCGCCCTCGCTTGAGACATCCTCACAAAACCGGCCCCGGGGGAGGTGCCCAGAGGAGCCCAGAGCGGCCTCCGGCACCGTTTCCGGACAGATCCGTGGATCCGCTGGATCCCGCCGACGAATCCCAAACTGGCGCCCTCGCTTGAGACATCCTCACAAAACCGGCCCCGGGGGAGGTGCCCAGAGGAGCCCAGAGCGGCCTCCGGCACCGTTTCCGGACAGATCCGGTGGATCCGGTGGATCCGCCGACGAATCCCAAACCGGCGCCCTCGCTTGAGACATCCTCACAAAACCGGCCCCGGGGGAGGTGCCCAGAGGAGCCCAGAGCGGCCTCCGGCACCGTTTCCGGACAGATCCGGTGGATCCCTGGATCCGCTGGATCCGGTGGATCCGCCGACGAATCCCAAACCGGCGCCCTCGCTTGAGACATCCTCACAAAACCGGCCCCGGGGGAGGTGCCCAGAGGAGCCCAGAGCGGCCTCCGGCACCGTTTCCGGACAGATCCGCTGGATCCGCTGGATCCGGTGACGAATCCCAAACCGGCGCCCTCGCTTGAGACATCCTCACAAAACCGGCCCCGGGGGAGGTGCCCAGAGGAGCCCAGAGCGGCCTCCGGCACCGTTTCCGGACAGATCCGGTGGATCCACGAATCCCAAACCGGCGCCCTCGCTTGAGACATCCTCCAAAACCGGCCCCGGGGGAGGTGCCCAGAGGAGCCCAGAGCGGCCTCCGGCACCGTTTCCGGACGATGGATCCGGTGGATCCGGTGACGAATCCCAAACCGGCGCCCTCGCTTGAGACATCCTCACAAAACCGGCCCCGGGGGAGGTGCCCAGAGGAGCCCAGAGCGGCCTCCGGCACCGTTTCCGGACAGATCCGGTGGATCCGGTGGATCCGCCGACGAATCCCAAACCGGCGCCCTCGCTTGAGACATCCTCACAAAACCGGCCCCGGGGGAGGTGCCCAGAGGAGCCCAGAGCGGCCTCCGGCACCGTTTCCGGACAGATCCGGTGGATCCGGTGGATCCGCCGACGAATCCCAAACCGGCGCCCTCGCTTGAGACATCCTCACAAAACCGGCCCCGGGGGAGGTGCCCAGAGGAGCCCAGAGCGGCCTCCGGCACCGTTTCCGGACAGATCCGTGGATCCGGTGGATCCGCCGACGAATCCCAAACCGGCGCCCTCGCTTGAGACATCCTCACAAAACCGGCCCCGGGGGAGGTGCCCAGAGGAGCCCCAGAGCGGCCTCCAGCACCGTTTCGGACAGATCCGGACAGATCCGTGAT